TTAAAAGATTATGCAGGTCACTCGTCTGATATACTCCCCGATATTATTAAGAATCGAAAATAATCCTAGTCATACCGTAGTTCCATTTCTTGCAATTAGTTATGCACAGTAATACGGAAGTTATGAAAGACTACAGTACATTACTCATGTGATTCCACTTTACTTGTTCATCTCTTTATTTCTTCATATCTTCACCTTATATTGTGCCCAGAGTTTGTGATTCTACATCCAGCTTGAACTAGAATGAGATGTAGATGTCAATCCTTCAACTCTCGTCGAAGTAGAAAAGGCTGAATCGAATCTCAAACAAAGCAAAGCAGAAGGACCTAACTGTTTTCCACCCAGAGATTACAACCATACAGCTAGGAAGTTGCTGATAAGACTAAAAGAGGTACTAAAATGTGTCAGATTGGCCTACTTCGCTCATTTTCCCAGTCTATTGAAAAGGAGCGAAGTCTTCCTGCCACAGCTAAAAAAGATTACTTTGACTAATATTGCGTCGAAGATCCCAGGATACATAATGGATCTGATGCGTAACTGCAGCTCAAGAATACCAAACTCGAGATACAGGCGTCATTCGACTTTGTAGACAGTGAGATATTGTGCTTCAGGACTGATCTACTGCAACTACTCTCACTTTAATGATAGGAAGTAATGTGGTGGGATGTTTCAACCACACCACTTACTTGAGGAGTTGCATCAATCCTAACAGGCTCGTTGCTGATGGAATTACATCTCGGATACGGAAGGTTAATGAAAGCTTGTCTTGATTTTCCGATCTTGGCTGGCTTTGACGTCCTATCTGTGCCGCCGCCGCTGCCTGTAGTTGAAACAATGCTACGTAGATAGGTGAAAGAGACAACTTCCTTTAGGTTTCTCCATTGATGGTGCTTTTTGTTGTTGTTGGTTGGGTATCTTCATTACCTCTGTCTTCTCTACGTTCACTTGAAGTCCCATCTTCGCTGCCCCACCTCTTCTGTCAACTTGCTAGTTTTCACCTGTAGATCTTCGAGCTTCTGCGACACGAGACGTATATCGTTATCGGCGAAATCCAAATCTTCTAGGGTCTTTCACTAGTCCAGCGTATGCCCGTCTTCTCGCTCCTCACGGTTTGCTGCATGATCCAGTCCACCACAATCAGGAAGATCATGGGTGATAATGGGCAGCCTTGTCTTACTCCTGTCTTTACTTCAAAGGCACCACTGAGCTTCCCATTGTGAATCACTTGACATATGGCGTCTTCATATAGTCGCTAGATGAGATTGATAAAGGTTTGTGGTATTCTGTAGTGTTGAAGCTGCTACCTGCCAAATTACTTCTCTGTCGACGCTGTCGAAGGCCTTTTCAAAATCGATGAAGTTGAGGTCGAGTTGAGTTGACTACCATTCTATGCTCTGCTCTATGATGATGCGTAGCGTAGCATTGCGATTTGATCCACACATGATTTGTACTTCCTAAATCCAGCCTGTTCTGGTCGTAGTTTTGAATCCAGCGCATCCTTTAGTCTCTCCAGGATGATGCGGCTTAATATTTTGCTCACTTGGGGCGGACAGGAGCATGATTCTGCTCCAGTTCTTGCAGATATTCTGTTCGCCCTTATTTGGGAGTTTGACAAGTTAGCGTTTCTTCCAATCAGTCGGCAAGTACCTTTCCTTCCTTCCAAACCTTGTACAATGGTGGTGTGAGCATGTACACTGTTGTGTCTGCACCTGTTTTTAGTACTTCTGGGGAAAATCCATCTGTTCCTGCTGCTTTTCTGGCTTTCAGTAACTTTATGGTGTTCAGGACTTCACTTCTGATTTTGTCGGAGGGCTTGTGTCTACTGGTAATTCTGTGGCTGGCTGGGCTGCTGGTGGTATTTGTGGACGAGTTACAGGTGGTGGTGATGGTCGATTCAAGATTTTTTTCAAGTGATCAACCTATCGTTTTCTTTGTTTCTCCTCTTTGGTAACCAATCTTCCTTCACTATCTTTCATTGATTTCATCTATGTTGATCTCTTCCCTCTTAGATAGTAACCTGGTTATTTGATACAATGTTGTCAGGTCTCTCCTACCTGCAGCCTGTTCTGCTTCACTTGCCAATGTGTAGTAGAGATGTCTTTTGTCTTTCCACACACTCTTCACTTCTTTGTCCAGTGTTTTATAGGTTGTGTTCAGTTCCTCTTTTCGTTGTTCATCCCTGCATTGCACTGGTTCATCTTTTGCTTCACCATCTTACTCTCATTCCTTTATCAGCTTTAATATGTCCTTCGAGATCCATTCCTTGTTTTCTTTTTTCTTTATTCCTAATACCGTCATGCAGGTTTCTTTCCACATCTCTTTCAAAGAGTTCCAGTGTTCTTCCACGCACGTTTCCTCAGGGATGTTGCTTAGTGTCTATCATTTTTTCCTGATGGCCGACTGACGTGAAGATGTCCTTTAAAGTTTCGTCCTTCAGTTTCTGTTCTGGGTGTTGAACTTGAACTGTAGTCGGTCTATCAGCAACTTCTGTGAAGGCTTTTTACTTGATTTGGAAGGCAGGTTCCTTGCACTAGATAGTGAAGTGAGTGGTGTGAACCTACATCTGCTCTCCTTCTTGATCTGATCTTGTGTCCAGTAAGCTGCGTCTCCGCTTTCTTCACTTTGTACACGCGACCTCCAATCACCAAATCATTGAATGCGCAGAATTCTGCAAACAATTCTCCATTCTCGTTCATTTCACCCAGCGCATCTCGACCCATGGTTAGTTCTCTTCTTGTGTTGTCCTCTCCCAATATGGCATTCATGTCGCCCATTGGAATATTGATGTCGCCAACTGGAGTGGGGTCTTGTCTAGTACTGATTACAGTTGTTTGTAGAATTCCTTGACCTACATCATTTGTAGGTGCATAGCGTAGCATTGTACGACTGTGACTTTCCTTCCTTTTGAGTTCAACCTTGCTGTCATGATCCTACAGGAGATTGGTTCCCACTGCATGAGAGAGAGTCTTTGATGCTGTTGGGGACATCATGACAGCCACTTCAAAGGTCAGTGTGCTCGTGGCTATCGTTTGGGTGACAATATTGGAGTAGATTATTGACTCTCCAGTTGACAGTTTGGAGAGTCCACTTCCATTCCATCTGCTCTCGCTGATTCCTAGCACTTCTATGCTATACCTTCTCATCTCCTTTGCAATCTGGGCAGCCTTGCTAGGTCCAAACATTGTGTGGACATTCCATGTCCCTACGTTTACTTTCGCTTCCAGCGAAGGCTTTCACCAACCGGCGTCATTTCGTCTCCCCGATTCCAGCGAGGAATAAGTTTGATTCGATGTTTTATATTTTGTTTGTGCTTTGATGTTTCTTTAGCAGTTGGATTGGTTTTCAGTGGTAGGGTTGCGAGCCCTATGCCCAACCTTCCCTCTTTATCTGGGCTTAGGCCCGGCTAGTAACTAGTGAACTAGTTAACCAGGCGAGGTTAACTCGCATCACCGCTGACACCGACTGGCAACTTATCCGAGTACCTTTTGGAGGACGACTTTACTGCTCTGCAGTAACTTCTGTCCTGTTATTCATCTGTGAAACATGGCTGTTGAAAATAGATGTAAAGACTACCGGTTTCCGAACACACGTGTCTTCGTAGTATTGCTCACATATTGTGGAATCAGTGTCTGGTGTGTGAAGGTCAGGCGAATCGGTAGATGAGGTTGTGAATCTTAGTCGACTGGGATGGCTTGAAAATGTACTGTGCATGCCGAGGCACGATGTACATTGACGTGCTATGCTGGGGTTGGTTGGATTAGGTTGGAAGAAGTTTCAGAGTGGTGACACCAAAATGCGACACCGATCGATGAAGTCTTTTACTGTTTGCATGAGTCGTGTGAAGAGATGATTGACGATTGCTCTCAGTGGTGCAGGTGTACTCACTCCCCGATATCTTCTAAAGCTTGAATGTTCACCCTAACCTTTATCTTCACATTGTTTATTCTCTTACGAAAGTTTATCTACATTAATATCACTCATTTCTCTATTCACCTGTTCTTTGTCTACTGCTGTAATATGTGATAAGTAGAACCGATACAGTTATGCGAGATGCTGGACGTTGAGTTTGTCTGGTCTTATCTAAGCTATCTCAGATTCCTTTAACTCGAAGGAAAAGAATGGTCATTTCCAAACTGAATTTACTTTATTTTATTTCGTAAATTGTTATCAAAAATTTATTAACGTAATGGAAACTGATAGTCAGTGTATACTGGAATAGATTCTAGTACTTGATAGATATTTTAACTGAAATTGAGGCGAAACATACAACACAACCGAATTCAATTCATCAAAATTCAGACAGCCTATATGGCAAGATTTAGCTCCAAACCACTGAGAGAAATTGAAACGAACCAAAGTGCACTCAGTAACCTTGTCCATATTCGTGCAGTAGGCAATGAGCCACACCTATTGTGGAAGAGATAATGATACCACCTACTCGGTGGACTGAACCTCGGTAGGTGGAGCAGTGTTCGAACACATGACTCACTGATTGAAAGTCGACTCGCTAAACCAGTGAACCACAGCCCTAATGAGAAAGGAAATCAATAACAATAAAAACCTACCCAAGAGTATTTACAGTTTTCCTACTACATACTAATACCAAATAGGCTAATGAACCATGGTACAAAAACGATAAATATAAAAGTTGAACGAGGTATGTAGTATCCTTTAAACAAAGCCTTCAGTAATTCGTATTTATTCAACTCAGTAGAAATGTATAGAAAAAATATACCTACTTAAACCAATGAACAGAAACTGATAATCGCTACGTTTTCAAATGTCTTAAACATTTTACACCCTAAATAGAGTGCAAATCAACATTATTAAATCTTGGTTGTACTAAGTTCTCTGAGCTGGGTTGTCTAGTCACGTCTAAACAATCCAGCTCAGAGAACATAATACAAGCAAGACCATCCACCTGAGCTACAAATATTCTTCAGCACATCAATATGTGTCCAAAAACTTAAAAAGTGTTAAAAGAAAATCAATACACTCACCAAATGTTCCTTTAATCTAGGAGATTGTTCAGTTAATGCAAGCTTAGCAGATAGATCACAAAATTGAGGAATTCCACTGATTGGAGCATATTCTTTGTTTAAATTTTGGCTAGTAAAATTGACTCAGCTTCTTTAACAGACGGTAAAACAAACGGTTTTCCATCATCATCTCGGTAGGCACCAGCTCCTAGATTAATCTTCTTTGGATTTGTATCACGATTATAAGCTTCTGTAATACCTAAGATCGCGTCTGGAGGTCCAAGTTTCACATTACTCCAGTAAGAACTAAAAGTATGTGTATTTATGAAAAAAAATAAGACAGAACTTACCTTAATCTCCTAACAACATGAATGAAAGCGGAAGACTTGGTAGGCATGAGAAGAAATTTGATAGGTTAGTAAGCAATAGATGAAAACAGTTAACACCTGGATAACAGAAAAGTAAACGATACACAAGTTGTACACTTAGATACAGAGGTTCAACTATAACATACTTATCAGTACTAACAGTCATATGAACTTTATTTACACTGCATTGAGAAGCAATGAAAACAGATACTTTGAACAAATATATAATAGACTTCAGATACATCACAAGAATAGACGAAGTTATACAGTAGGTTCACTCTGATGCATCACAACAGCACTAAAAATGAAAACTAACCTATTAGGGTGATAGGGAATCTACAAGATTATGAATTGAGAGAAGATAAATAAGTAGCGCTGAGACATTTAAATCTGTTATTGTTTCTAAAATGTAACAGATGCTTCGGTGACATTGTTTCTGTGTGGTGAAAGCATAATGTGAACAATGTCCAAGTTACACATGGAATACTAGGTAAAGAAGACAAATTGGTTGATAAAGGTGTGAAGGTCTGCCAATAGAGAAGACTCGAGTGTGTTGAGTCATTGCCGATCCCGATGTAAGATGCTCACCGAAATAACATTAAATGAAAAGAAGGCTAAAGGTAGTTAAAAACAAGAAGTACAGCCATTCTATGAAGTCTTTGAGTAATGTAGAGAGGCGTAGGTTTCATGGCTGGGATCCTCGAAATAAGGATTGGAAGTCCCATGTGTCCCAAGCTTTAAATGTCGAGGAGTAAATACACCTACACCACTGAGAGCAATCATCAACCACGTCACCAACAGTCTTCAACCAATGATTCCTTTTGTCCCAGAGACCCCAACCTAACACTCTACATCTCCCAACACAGCTCACATCAACAGTCAGGGACATTATCCTTCGCTGCCACGTCTTGGTTTGACCACCTTGAACTCCTTACCCACCTAATCCGCCTTCCCCTGGCGTTTCATGTCGAGGCAGGCGGTGCCTCGGAATGTACAGCACATCTCCGAGCCATCTCAGTCGACTAAGGTTCACAACCTCATCTACCGATTCGCTTGTCTCGCCTAATACTCTTCGCCCGACCTCCGCACACCACACTGATTCCACAATATGTGAGCAATACTACTAAGACATGTGTGTTCGAAAACCTGTAGTCTTTTCACATCTACTTTCAATAGCCATGTCTCACAGATGAATAACAGGACAGAAGTTACTGCAGAACACTATACTCGCCCTGCAACAGGTACTCGGATAAGTTGTCAGTCGGTGTCAGCAATGATGCAAGTTGGCGAATGCTAAGCGGTCCTCCTGTATCCGAGATGAGATTTCGCCAGCAACCAAACTATTCGGGCTGATGCAACTCCTCAAGTAAGCAATATGGTTGAAGCATTCCACCACATTACTCCCTATCATAAAAGTGAGAGTAATTGCAGCAGATCAGTCCTGAAGCATAGTCTTACGTGTGTTTCCTACCAGACGCATGTCAGGCAAACATATTCAGATTTCTGCTCGACGCGTTCAGAAGACGTTGCACTCTGTCAGTGGTTCCGTGTAACAGGACAATATCTTTTACGTACTCTAATTCAACCAGATGCCTTCCTAGTTGTATTGTGTTCTCTGAGCTGGGTTGTTTAATCGTTTAATTATGATTAAACAACCCAGTTCAGAGAATACAATACAACCGAGACCGTCCACCTGAGCTACAAATATTCTCCACTATTTCAGATGCCTTCCCTTTAGAGATTAGATCAGTGCCTGTGAATTCAGACGTACCATTTTCGCGGAAAAACGATGGGCAAAACGTAGAGCCATTTTTTAAACACGGGGAAAATCGAAGGGAAACGCGAAGCAAAATGCGGGGACTAAAAAGTGCAGGGCAAAACACGGGGCATTTCGAGGGGCAAATTACGGAGAAAAGTAGGGCAGAACACGGAACTTAAAAACTCGGGCAGATGTTGCACAATCTCGCGTTTTTCATCGTGTTTTCATTGCAATCTGTAACATACCCGTGTTTCGCCCGCGTAAAATGTTGACTTGGAAATTCACGCTTGTCAATCTTGACAGCGAATACGCACTGACAACCATGAGGTCATACGATTTATAGTCACATACAAAGAAAGTGCATTGATGCAACAACTTAACAAGGTAAAATCCATAAATTATGGAAACCTACCCGGATAAACAATTGAAAACTAACACGTTAAAACGTATTACAACTGAACAACCCGCCTATCATTCAATGTCCAATAGCCATATGCAGGCTAATTTTAACCAACATGCTTCCGTAGCCTTCTCTCTCTACGTTGGGCAATGCTTCTTAACCTTCAATGACTTCCTAAGTAGTAGATCAAGGAATTATTCTGCTGTGTTTTTAGTTAGTTAACTTAACATTTTTGCGTCGACTTATCTTTTATTTTGTCATTCGGAACACAAGACATGATTAGAGCGTAAGGGTAATTCACGATCATTCCGAGGATAATTCACTCTTAGGTCAAGATACTTCCGTTAACCGGCTGATTATAGCTAATGTTTTTCTCGAAAGCGCATGCATGCTTCCCAAGAACGGAGAAAGGTTATTATGCTTACCTGTACTCACGATGTTTGTGGATGTGAAGGCTGTTTTCTGCTGGGTATTTAATATTTTAACAACAAAAAAGTTGTTACAGAGCTGAGAAAGCATTATCAATGTTTTAGTAGAGCTTTTTCAAGCTATGGGAGCAAGATTTTACTATAGAATGTTAGGTGGCTTACCTGCTCTGTGTGATTTAAACGGTTTTTAATGCTTGGCAACGGAAAAACAGAGGCTTTTGTCGAGTTGGGTTACGTGTTCTGGATCAACGGGCATCTAGTTTTCCTTCTTAGAGCTTATTTGTAAAGTGTAGACGAAAGAGATTACCGGTTATTACTGACTTAATCTGTAAGTTGATGATGTGAGCTGGAGTGGACATCGTATGCTTGTGTTTGAAAAACTCTTGCGGTGTAACCTCAAGGGCTTTGGCGTGGAGATATTTCTAAGCCTTAACAATCTTTGTGCAGTGAGGGATACACCTAGTATCAGTCCCAATATTTCCTAGCTTTAGCCCCTAAGCATTCTCTCAGTATTACGGCTTAGTTTCGTCAGGCAATGAGTCAAGTGACCTGAAGTATTCAGACTGTTTACACCATCATAAGCTTACCCTTTCTTCACCTATATCTACATGTGAGTGGTTATATATATATACATCCTGGTGGGCACAATGTGAATAGTGGCCCCTGGATGGCGAAACGTTGCCATGGAAAAAGCTTCTTGAAAGATCAAACTTAGCATGCATTCACGCGCATTATACGGCTGAGTATTTTTCTAAATATTTCGTAGGCCTAGTAGTTCGACTCAATCGTAATTTAGCCGTATCTGTGTATTCCTGGGAGCACCGTTGAGGATTTCAACGATTTGGCTACCTACCAGTCTGCTGTGATGAGTAGCAATATCCATTATGACTGGGTTACCTTCAAAGTGAGGTGGTTCCAAATGTTCGATTCTAGCAGTAACTTTACGTCCGTTTTCCTCTAGTATACACAGTTTTCGCGCCGCCTGATCACCTTAAATGGTCCATCGTGGGGTGGGTCAGGTGGTCGACTAACAGCGCCGTGGCCTATGAAGACATGTAATGTCTTTTGTAAAGCTAGATTAACTAAGATATCAGTCGCTTGAGGTCGAACGGAAATAGGCCTAACTGGATGCATTGCGTTTGTAAGCCCAATCACTTGGGATGTTCTTTCGGAAATACTTGTGAAAGTTGAGGGAGTGACAACCTCACATGGTAGGCAAATAGCATTTCCGCAGACGAGTTCTGCAGGTGTGCATCCAACATCAGCCTCTAACGCATTCCGGATCGCCTGTAGGACTAGGGGCATAGCACTTCTGTACTGAGGTAAGGTTGTAGCCGAAAGGGAAGCTCCCAATTCTCGATGGAGGGGTTCTACAATTCGCTTATGGGTGGTGGGCTGTCATTCGAATCCGGGTACAACCCAAGAAGTGCGATTAAAACCTGGAATAATCCACACTCGACTGTTGCTTTAGATGGATATCCAAAGTTTGCAGTCCGTCTTTCGACGAAAACCTGAACGACACTTCCAGTAGTCATGTTGATGATACATTTATTGTTTGTTATACCCTGAAAAGCACCTCACAGTTGCTTAGTCTGGTCAACAAAATACATCAAAACATAGAATTAACAATGAAATATGAACAGGATAAATTGGTCTTCGAATTCAACCAACTGTCGATGGTAATATACTATGATGTGATCATAGAAAAGATTCTTGGGTGGAGCGTATCTTAACTTCAACGGCTTTTGTCATGCAAAGGGCTGACGGAAGCACTCTTCAACCATATAAGACATCTTTGTTCGAAAGAGACTCCGGAAGAGGAAATGAATGTTGGGGAAAATTGCCTACGTAATAACGGATATTCATAGAGATTCTTCGTCAATAAGCACAAGACTGCATCGAGTAAAACTGTGGGGGGGGGGAGTCGAGAATAAGCTTATTTTCCTGAATCTTACCTTCAAAGGTGATGATGTTTCTGGGAAAATTGCTTGCAGGATAAGTGCTGCCTTAAAAGAGGGGTAAATCCACCTGCTTGGTCCATCTCATTCTACTAACCGAACTGCTCACTGAGACAATCAAAAGCTGACAGGCCCCTATCCTCATGTTGCCTTCAGCTGCATATATATACCACTTTACATGTACATGTCAAAGCACATGCACTGAACAGAAAGAAGACTGTGTGACCACATGCTTGAGCATATTCCAAGGAATTTGAGATTGAGATGGAAAAGTCTTCAACAACGCTACTGCTCGTCACTTTATTGATATTGGGCGTTGATATTAGGAAATCGTTGAAAATTATAATTAATAAACATGCGAATCAGGATTTGTTTTGTTTGGCCGAAGCGTGAACCGTTAAACGATTGAAACTGAGGTCATGTATTCAGAAAAAGAAACAGGTTATCAATCTATGCCTAACATAGCAAAGACTTGCCCGGTGACAGCTATCACATCTTTTTACATATCATCGTCCATTCACACAAGCTGAGTTTCTTCGGCTCTTTTGTTATTTTACATTTCATACCTTTAACCTGATCATCTGAATCCTACTCACATTTGCTTCTTAGTTAACACTCATCTTACGAACTTTTTCCACGCCTTTTGTGTTGCCTTTCTTAATAGCGATTTGGGGGAGCGGGAGTTTGTGGGGATTTTACTGAGTTCAGGTTTAGTATTCATCATGGACTGATATCAACTGGAGAATAATTGAAAACCTGGGATTAGTGGCCAGTTGTTTCGTCCTAGTATGGGACTTCTCATGATGTCACCAGCTGGGGATCGAAACAAGGACATTCACATTCCGCGGCCAGCCACGATGACATTGAGTGATGGCCTTGCTATATCATGAATACTAAGAGAAGTAGGAAATATGGGGCATTCGATTTCGACCCAGTGGCTCAATGGTAAGGTACTGGTCATAAAACCTGAAGGCCCTGATTCCGATCTCTAGAGGGGTTGCTGGTGCGTACTATTAGGGAGTCCCATACCAGGAAGAAACGGCTGTCCATTTCTTCTAGGTTTCAAACTTTTCTGCAGTTTATTTCGTTTCATGATGAAAACTGTCTTCCTCAACTTCTTGAGTACAATTTTCTTCCTCTCTTATTTAATTCTCACTCTGGAATATTCGCCTACTCCTTTCGTGTGTTGACAAACTTAGTTTTGAATGCTTATTAACTCAGTCCGTGTGTTTTCGATTACGTTACACTGATGCCATCTTTGATTCATCCAATAATTTCCTACCAAACTGATTCAAGTTCACAAATACTTGTTGTTGTTTGATACCCGTAACTTCCGTCGTTATACAGGGCCGACTTACTCGACCTCTGTTGGCAGATGGGCTTCAGTGCGGAGGCCCAGATACTGCTGATCATGGTGACCACCAGTGGAATCTAGGGTGCGCGTTTCGTCTTATTTCTAGCCCACTAGTAGGGTGGATGTGTCTACACCCCAGTGATTGATGCTGTTCCCACTGAGACCCGAACCAGGTGCCCATCGCATCAAACTACAGAGCGTGTCCACTAGGTCTCTAGGCGTGTAAACAAGTCGAGACTATACAGTTGCAACACGGACGTATGCACAACCGTGGTATTTTCGTCAACGACGAGTTTAAGAACATTATCAGGACGTTTCACTTCCAAGGTCCAATGTAACCTAAGGTACCTTATTCAAGTTGCGCATATGTGGCAAGCAATCTTTGGTCATATGCATTACATTGGATGAATATCAGAAGAAACAGAATCTTTACAGTTTCTCCTGAATGGGACAAAAAGATGAGTTTACCAAAAAACTGGTTGCTTCCCCGAAAGTGAAATCCCCCCGCTCGAATAGTTTAAGAACAAATACTGGCGTGAGGCATTTTCGATGGTCACCTAATATCAGGAACTGATAAGGCTAACTAAATGCAAGCCGTTGGATTTCACCCCATTGGCTGAGTTGTGGCACGCTCACAATGAGAATTGGTGATTCTCGGCTACATCCCTCACCAGGTCCTTAGATTGCACTACTGAGGAGTTCCAAGCTCGAACGAAACAGCTATCCACTGTTCCCTGGTTATCGGCGGTTCACCGGCTTATGTCAGTCCACGAGGGAACACCTCGGCACTGTACTTCAGTTGACAAGGAACTGCACGTCTTATATGGTGTTCAGCACAAAAGTATTTCAAGTACTGCGTGTAGAGATATGCTAGGCTTTTCAAAGTAGTCCACACAGAAAGCAACGTTCATCAACATTCTGTAAGAAGTTTTTGTATTCAGAGACTGTCTCCATGTTGATTTTTCACCTGTGTTTCTCTCACTTGATAAACTTAATCGTCTACTTTACCATATGCTATGTATGCTGTCCCAAGCCACGTTAATGACCATGATTTTAAATTAGGCTTTAGTGACCCTGCCTTTGATGTGATTGAAACTCAATTAATATGGGGGATTTATCTCTAAAAAAGTTGATTGGATCTAGAAAAGGTCAAACCTACAATATGCAGGCCCATTTAGTTAACTTGGGTCGACCTCATGAGTGATCAACCATTACTGACTGTTTTTGTCAACAAAATATAATAAGCATTCTGATAACCCTTGATACACTTAATTCAGGAAACCAACCTATGGAACTCGGTCCAGAAAACAAAAGAAGGTGTTTGGTGGATAGAATATTGAATAACATCTCGCTGTAGCGAATACAAGTAACACATCACAATAGTTTCACATGGTTTTCCATGAATGTAGCAAGAGCCTCTGAAGGCGGACACACATCATTTTCGGCAGACTTCTTTTCACCCTAGTATGTGTACAAAAGAAACTTGTCCAACCTATGTTACTATACTGGACTTCGTAAATAGTTAAATACATCGACCCCTATGTCTCTTAATATTCACAATTTGTTACATTTTTGAATGCATATTTTCATCACCCAACAGCGTCATTTTGTTTCCATACTACCTTTGATCGTGTTGTCTTGGAAATTATTCCTACATACTGTGCAACTTTATTTTCTTTCCGGTTTTTTATGATGGTTTCTGTGTCCATTTGTGACTACTTTTCACCTTACATCACGTGTGATATTTTTGATCTTTATTCAACGCGATCTTTATTAGTTATGTGGATTACACAATGCTTGTAACTATGCCACATAGTGTACCAAAAAAGTATAAATGTCAATTGTACAGGTGTAGAGAATGAAATCGCGGGAAAAAAGTATCGTTGCCGACCTTCACATTTTCTCCAGTAGATTTTGTCCACAAACATTTTTGCTTTATTTTGATAGGTCAATCTTTTGACAAATCAGAAGTCTGCCCTCATCTCTGTCTTTTGTATTGGTCTATTCTAATTCAATCACATTAATTTGTTTCACGTGACTATATGGTGTTCTGTTTCTTATAGTTTAGGTATTTTATCGACCGCATGAGGTTAGTGAATTAAATTCTTTTTTGTTCTGTATTTCTTACTTGATATAGGTATTGATCGTTTATTCTTTCTGAGACTAGCCAATGTATCATATCTAGTAGATTGAGTAAATGCTGTCGAATTTATGCTTAAATTTAAATATTTGATGAAATTCTTGAAGACTGTTGATGTAACAGTCGGATAACCATTGCACACTTAAGTTCTTATTACCGTTGTTCTATTGGTGCTACTCACTCCTCCTTGAAAGTATCAGACTTTACAACCACTTTGAAGGAAGTGAATGACTGATAGATGTTCATTCTTGATTCCTCTCATCTTCTATCATCTAATCATTTAGTGTAAAGCAAGCACAATCAAAGGTAGGATGGGCTACAAAAGAAAACACACCCAATAATCATTTGTACGGTCTTTCAGTAGACAGACAATGACCCATCTTTCTTGTTTAAGGGCAAATGATACTACCTGGTTGACACGACTTTGACAGGCCGAACTGTTTTCAAACGTGTGACCCTCTGGTCGGAAGTCAAGTACCTAAATCGGTGAGCCACAATTATTGGCCGAAGTCTTACCAGTGTAATTCTAATTCACTTCCTGATAAAGCTAAGAATAATCAGTTGGCTTTTGAAAATAATTCACATCATTCGCTTTCACCAGTTTTGTATAAGAACAGAAAAGTTGACTGACACGAAGAGCGATTCTTATTACCAAAACTTTCCAATTATTCGGTAATTTGTCTTGTTCCCTTCACTCTGATAACATGACTGGAATATGCGCTCAATGCGAGCATTTTATGGTGTTACAGTTGATTTTACAGTTTTAATAGTATCCTGTTGACTCAAGGGGTGCTTACTTTAGCCAAGTGGCTTGAGTAAGAGGGAGATAATACTCTGAAATTTACTGTGTTACGTGAGATGCAGATATAGTGATGTGACGATCCTCATCCTGCAAACCGGTAGCTACCAAAAGTTCTCTTCACACCTCTTATGTTACTTTGTAGAAGTTTGATGAATAGTCAGCTCTGTGGAGTCCAGTTGACGACCTACATTTATTGTGAATGTCATTCTAGTTGTACTGCTGTTGATACTATTGAAATCTTTTCCGTAGTTCTTGAGAATTGAAGAATTTTAAATTGAAAAAAGCAGAATAAAAAAAGAATAGGTTTTTACTTACGGCCCTTGAAAGCTTCCGCTGGATTTCATAAACTGCATGAAATGAATCTTTTAAAATTGTATCCTCTCTGTCGACTAAGTGTTGTAAGTTGAAATGTTTGATTGATCGAAATTCACCTTGACTGAGGTATTTCGGATGGTGTGCATGCCTACGTTAAATAAGTTGCCTCTGTCAACGGCCTACATACGTAGCTCAACAGCAGCAACAGTTTATCCTACGCACAGGTGTTCACTATTGGATGGCTGGATAACTCGTTATCCGTTAATTTATGACAGATATCAGGATGTGATTGAAATCATTTAGAAAGGTTATTGATCAGTAAAAAATTAAAAAGGCTCATTTTACCCAAGAAGCAAACTAACACGGAGTTATCCAGGATCACAATGCTCTCCACGAGACCTGATAGTTGTGGGCTTGACTCTTCATGAGGTTGTATGCACACACTGCTAATGAGTCTCAAAATATAACGAAACAGCTGTCAATTATTTATAGGTTCTCCGTTGTCATATGACGGATTTCAGTCTGTTGACAAAAATGCTATAAAATCAATCAACCGATCCCTATAAACCACTAATGGCTTTAAATTCTGAATAAGATTGGGGGGGGGGGGGGGGTCGTAACTCAGTAGTTCAGCGAATTACGTTTTGTCATTTGGAGCATTTTTTACTTTGTTTTTCATCTCAGTGAGAATACCAGCACTGAATGGGATGCATAACATTGAAGCCCCCAATACGTAATTTGGAGCATGGTTTAAGGAGACCAGTGATACTGTTCTGTGGACTCAGATCGTTGTTGTAAACTGCAGAGCTAGAAGGACTTAGATGATGCAAAACTGTTAAGGTAAAAATGGAAGAGGAGGATAGGGGTCTGAGGGAACTTGAGTACTGACAGAGTTATGAGAGCGGTTGACACTTCCCGGTTGCCCACACGTGGAAAGCTAGGTCTTCTTGAGGCATCTGAAAAGAAGGGTTAGTGCATGACCAGGGGATATCTGCTTGAGGCTGGTCACATACGGCCTTATTGAAGCCACGAAAATTGGCATGTATTATGGAAAGTGGGGTCGGACATGTCCTGCTGTTTTGGATCACCACGAACTGCTGATGACTGATCTAAACCATCCTGATGCATCATTTCATTGTTTAAAGACAAGTTAAGGGTAAGGATAACTGCTTCTTGTCTAATCACTATTCGACAGGCCTTCCTGGTGTGGTGGGACCTTGTTAACCACGTCAGTGTAGCATCTGTCGGTCGGGTGGAATGCATAAACATCCAGTTAACGGGTTGTCAGCTGAATGAAACACGCACATTGGAAGCCAATGCTAACTACAGACAGATATAACCTTGCAATTGGTACAATAGTTTTATGAAATTCATTAGTGTTGCTTTTAGTCAACCTCGTGTTGATTCAGATGTCTGCAGTGACGTAAATGAGCTGAATTAATGACAGGTGGCTATAAATAAGTAAAGGTTCTGCATTTGCTCACTGAAAATCACGGTTGGTAAAGATTTCATCAGACTTTTTCAGTTTTATGTTGACCAATAAGAATGAGTAAAGTGAAGTATGTCACAAGACAGTCAGTCTCCAAACGCTAGTGTGTTGAAGCAGAACAGCGATTTATTTTGTATCACATACTTCTTTTATCAATAATATGTAGAATCAGTTGTAAAGGCAGAACACATTAGGTTTCGGACTTTACTTCTGACTTGTAGGTCATGGGTCCGAACCTCTCCGTATCTTTAAAGAATTGGAAAGTATGATGGTACTATGAACCACGTTCGTGCAATAGGTGTTGCTTATAGCAAGTCTGTTTCAGCCTTAAATTCCAAAATCAGAGCTCGAGATACAGCAATCACATCTAACATGGTTTCTAAGAAGGTTTCATTACGTAAGTTCTCTTTGTTGTTAACCCGATGACTGACAAACACCTGCAAAGAATCTTTCGCAAATTTGAACCATTTTAAGTATGGTATGTGCTTCTCTCTGTCAAAGTGTAAATTACTTCTAAAGCAGTGGTAGAAACCTGCACCTTTACTCACTCTTGATGGTGGATAACTAGACTTTGTCGAAGAGTTTGTATACCCGAGTGGTTGTGTAAGTGCCAATCCAGGTGGGACTGACGAGATTTTCAACCGTGCATGGAAAGCCAGAGCAATATACGCCAGTTTGAGTCACCTTTGCCACCGTCTTGACGTTAACCTTGCTGTTAAAAGTCGAGTTTACGGTGTGGGTGTGGCAATTTCTATTTTCTAACTGTGAAGTCTAGCTTCTTTACGCTGATTATGTTCGATGACTCTACTTTTCCAATCACCGTTGCCGCCGTAGCATCTCTTGCATTCGTTGGAAGCACCGTATGTGTTATTCTGAGATGTAGGAGGTGTCTGCTAGGGTATGATGGAAGTCGTCATTTTTGAAACACTCGCCTGAGTGACCCGTACATATGTTGGGAATGTCATCCCAGCGCCTCGCATACTGCTCACTATTCTCTTGCCCTGGGACCGGTTAGAAGTGGAGAGGTGACCAGTGTACAACTTGGCACTGTGGGATGAAGGGTAGTTGTGTAAGATTAACATATCTTGTTGCCCCACCACGTTTTGGATGAGATGCGAACTACCATGCAGCTCAGTGTCTTAACACGATAGCAGACGCAGCTCAGAATTGAAACCCATGCCATCAGTCTGACTTTTTTATTTTTCTTGATTACTGAAGAGTGAAACGAATGCTTCTTCGGATGTATGTTTGAGATCGCTTGTTTAATAGCCCATTTCTTTTTTCATTTCCATTCTCTATGCATTATTTTGCCATGTTGTTACCAAGTTTGTGTCCTGAATAAACAATAAACCATACTTCACAACAGGATGAGGTGCAGGTATATCCAGCTGACTAGTGAGTCCCAAAATAGGATGAAATGTGGGTCGTGGATTCCTCTACTAGTCACCAGGACCAATATTATTATTGTATATGTTATACTGTCAGAGCGCTCTGTCAGCTGTGTAAGCGACAAGAAGTTAGTTTCAATATGAATACAGTTCCACTTCAATAAATAAGTATGATGATTATCCGTCATGAGAAGGAAACTTATGTAGTTATTCCTATCGCCTTCACATCGATTCAGAGGAATTTCATCACAAATTCACACCGGAAAGAGAAACATCGAAAACCTTGAAGTAGTGAATGGGTGTTTCTTTTCAACTTGGGATTCCTCAACAGTGTGCACTCATAATCCTGTGTGATGAAACCTCAAGACCGTTAGTTCTCGTGACAAACACGTTACCATTTAGCCACTGGGTTAAAACCCAATGGCTCACGTGACCCAACTTCTTCGAATTCTTGAGATGCGGGAGTACAAGTCCTCACACTCGAGTTCACTGATTCCAGTTACGGCTTCTCATCAGAACTTTTAAAAGTTCATCTTGAAATACGTTATTAGCAAGCATCTGATTCGTGTTAAGTTTGAAAATTTGAAGGGGAAGGGTTAAATTGAAAGGGCAAGGTCCAAACTCATAACCCACTGTATGAAAGCTAAGTGCCTAGACCAATGAGCCACAGCCTTATACACCAAATGGGATTTCTAATGTTATACTGAAAAGCCATAACCTATCAGTTCGATCAAGTCTGATGTAGGATATTGGATGATGATTGGGCTCTACACTGTATCAGTCAGTCAGTATCAACAGTCGAACCTGCCAAAACCTTGTAACGGTTCAAGCCGCCACACCTCATTTCAACGCATCACTCACTATACAACAAGCCATTCAGATGCAAGAACTTTGGGGAAAATGTAATCAAGAGTTGTAGGAAGGTATCCCAATTACAACCTCCAACTGAATTACTATACAAAGTAGTAATAAATCCTGTGGGTCTATTGTGAATGTGAGCTAGTTAGGAGCTCAATAATTCATCAATGTCATGATCAGTGTACGAGGCCCTAAGGATATGAAACGAATTATTCAAGTCGGTATTCATCATAAATTGACATCAGTTGGAGGAACACTGGAAACCTGGGAGAAGTGGACAGCAGCTGTCTTGTCCTAGTATGGGACTCCTCGGCAGTGCGCACCCATGACCCTATCCCGCCAGAGATTGAACCCCGGACTTTCAGGTTCCGTGGGTTGGAATCCAGTGGTCCATGCTTCTAACTTCCAACTTGAAAAATCACTAAGTCTTCTCAAACCTCTGAATTCAATCAAAATGAATTAGTTGAAACAAAAGGTTAACATTTTTATACCTGTCTTTTTCTCTTAACGCTTTAGATCGATGCACTGATCCGTTCTGATCGTTGAACCTAATGAATCAAATATATGATTTACCTGAACGATTATTGACATTGAAATTATGGTAAGTTGTTTTCACTTCATATCAATCGATATTATTGGATTGTTTCCTTTTAATTATTTCATTTTGAAAACTTTTGACTGTTTGTATAAGTGAAAAACTTGGGCACTGTGGTAGAATGTAATTCCATATTAGATTTGTTTATTTGATATAAAGCGCACAGTGATACAGTATTATTTACTTGATTACGTTTCGAGCATAAATTATTGCTCATAATCATATCACATTGATATGATTATGAGGATCTGGAAGTAGATAATAAGTTGATGATATCATGTGATGTTTCATATCTGTTTACTAACATTACTTTAATGGAGATAGTAGACTTTATTTACAACGAACTTATGAAGCACGGCATGGAAATAGGTATTCCAGTCTCTATACTGAAGGAACTACTTCTGAGGTGTACGATGAACGCACAATTCCCTTTCAACAATGAACTCTAAAGGGAGTCTCGTGGTTTGACTATGGGGTCACCCCTTTGCCCACTGTTAGCAGACTTTTTTTCTGGCAAGACTAGAGAATGGTCCACTGGACGGAAACTATTAGCCGTTTAGAATTATATTGTTGTTACGTGGATGATAACTTTAAAGTTCTCAAGAATGAGATTGATGTGATCACTTGTTCTGAATAAATTCAATAGTGTTCATCTGGCAATCAACTTCTGTTGGTGAGAAGGTTAGATGGAACTCTAAAACGAAGTGTATATAGTAAACCAACATCAGTTGGTCAGTACACGCACTTCTTTAGTGCCGCATCCCTCCGATACAAAAGAAACCTAGTGAAATGCCTAGCATACCGTGCCACAGCTATTTGCTCAGATGGTGCTATAATGGAAGAGTTCGCCACCATCCGTGATCTACTTAGTAGGAATAACTACCCAGACAAGTTTGTTAACTAAGCATATGAATATTACGAGGGTTAAGACAAGAACGCTAACAGCTCCTAAGAAGCAAATCCTGTTGTAGCTGAAATTCAAGAGTAACATTGCCAGTGAAATCATCCCACAACGCATAAAAAGAGTCTTGCATATAACCTTCCCAGCCGCTAAATTATATCCCATCTTCTACAACCACTTAATTCTAGGTACAAGAAATAAAGACAAACTGCCTGATTCTGCCGATTCCATGTGCACTAATCAGTTCAACTGCTCCTGTGGAGCTAGTTACGTTGGGCGTACAATGAGGCAAGTCCATCGTCGAGTTTCTGAGCATCACCCATCATGGTTGATCAAGGGGAAAATTACAACAATAAAGGGCTCCATAACTGCACACTTAGTTGACACAGGACATCGAGTGGATACCAGAAAAGAATTCAGAACTAATCATCAGATTCCGATTAATTTACCACATGGATTACGCACTCGCTTCCTTCACATAGTAGAGGTGACTGCAACCCACCTTTACAACCAAACCTTACCTTTTTATTCAAAAGAAGTTTGTTCGACCACTTTGCATTACCGTGGCCGTTAACATGATATAACTATTAGTATTAATTTGTACACCTCTTCCCCTTCTTGTTTCTATCAATATTCATCTGTTTTCATACTATTACCGGTGTAGTCTTAAGTCTATCAACGTCTTCACTAGATGATGGTACATGTTCTCAAACTATATTTCCGTTTCCATCTCACTAATCGTATCACGACTATCACAAAAGTTTGATCCAAGTAACAAAAATTCCAGTTGTATAGCATCAAGATCGATGCTAGAAAAAATTGTGCACAAACTGATCAGGGTTAGTCAGGAATCTCATCTCCGATGTTCCATTTTCAAGATGTGCATTGAGCACATTCGTGACATAACTTAAAAATTCCTACTTTAAATTTTCCGGAAGCTTTTCTACACAGTGGAATCTCTCTGTAACATTTTTCAACATTTCAGTAGAATAAGATCTTAGTGAGTCAATCTGATTCAGAGCATAACATTTTAGTGTTCTTGCATTGGGCTGAACCTTGGAGAGTTGTAAACATTTCGAATACTCTTTAGGGTAACGATTCGTCGTCACCATGTGATTGGTAATTTGATTCAAGTGTAAACCCCTTATATATTAGTGTAGAGGCCAAGATGAAGACCTAATTGAAAAAAGAATATGATTTGTTCACTCAATCAGTCTTTTTCAATATAACGGTCTAAGGTTATTCATAACCTTTGATATGATTGGCTAGCCTGTTCATTATTATTATTATTATTATTATTAGTCCCTTGGGTTCCTAGTGGAACATAGGGCTTCAGTAGCACGCCTCCAGTGACCTCTGTTCTCTGAGATCTTTTGAACCTGGTCCCACGACAGCCCACAAGCTCTCATTTCCTGCTCGCACGACCTCCTCCATGTCACCCTCGGACGTCCAACTCGTCGCTTCCCATGGGGATTCCACTCGAGGGCCTGACGCGTGATGTCCTCCGTCGGCCTTCTCAGTGCATGGCCAATCCATCTCCACTTCCTGCATATTTGTTGCGTGATAGGTTCTTGGTTGGTTCGTTCCCAGAGTTCCTTGTTGCTTATTTTTTCTGGCCATCTGATCTTCAGCAGCGAGCGTAAGCAGTTGTTGATGAATGTCTGTAGTTTATTGGAAATACCTTTCGTGACGCGCCAAGTCTCTGAGCCATACAAGAGCACTGACTTGACGTTGGTGTTGAAAATCCGTATCTTGTTCCGCATGCTGAGTGCAGAAGATCTCCACACTGGTTTCAGGCTAATGAACGCCTGTCTTGCTTTTCCGATTCTGACTTTGACGTCCTCGTCCGTCCCGCCTGTAGTTGAAACAGTGCTTCCTAGATAAGTGAAGGAGGTTACTTCCTTTAAGTTTCTCCCGTTGACGGTGATTGGAGTTTGTTGTTGTTGTTGATGGTGGTGGTGCGGTATCTTCATCACTTCTGTCTTCTCTATATTCACCTGAAGTCCCGTCTTCGCTGCCTCTTCTATCAACTTGTTAGTTTTTGCCTGCAGATCTTCAAGTTTATGTGACATTAGGCATAAGTCATCGGCGAAATCCAAGTCTTCTAGGTTCTTTTCCGTCGTCCAGTGTATCCCCCTCTTCTCGCTGCCTACTGTTTGCTGCATGATCCAGTCCACCACAATAAGGAATATCATGGGGGATAGTAGGCAACCTTGTTTCACTCCTGTCTTCACTTCAAAGGCATCACTGAGCTTCCCATTGTGGATTACTTGGCATGTGGCATCTTCATATAGTTGTTGAATGAGGCGGATAAAGGTTTGCGGTACTCCGTAGTATTGAAGCAGTTTCCAAATTACTTCTCGGTCGACGCTGTCAAAGGCCTTCTCAAAGTCGATGAAGTTGAGGTAGAGAGCTGATTGCCATTCTATGCTCTGTTCTATGATGATACGAAGCGTTGCAATTTGGTCTGCACATGATTTGTACTTCCTGAAGCCTGCCTGTTCCGGTCGTAGTTTTGAATCCAGTGCATCCCTTAGCCTCTCCAGGATGATGCGGCTTAATATTTTACTTGGGGTGGACAGGAGAGTGATTCCGCGCCAGTTCTTGCAAGCACTGAGGTCTCCCTTCTTCGGCAGTTTGACAAGGTAACCCTTCTTCCAATCGTCAGGTACCTTCTCTTCCTTCCACACCTTCTGCAATAGTGGTGTGAGCATGTCCGCTGTTGTCTCTGCATCTGTTTTCAGTGCTTCTGGCGGTATTCCATCTGGTCCTGCTGCTTTCCCGCATTTCAGTAGCTTTATGGCGTTCAGGACTTCCATTTTCGTTGGGGGATTAATGTTCACTTGTAGTTCAGCGGCTGCAGGTGGTATTTCTGGACGAAGTGCAGGTGGTGGTCGATTCAAGAGCTTCTTGAAGTGGTCGGCCCATCGTTTCCTCTGTTTCTCTTCTTTTGTAATTAAATTTCCTTCTTCATCTTTTATTGGTTTCATCTGTGTTGGTCTCTTCCCTGATAGCAACCTGGTTATTTGATACAATGTCGTCAGGTCTCTCTTACCTGCAGCCTGTTCTGCTTCACTTGCCAGTGTTTCGTAGAAGTGTCTTTTGTCTTTGCGTGCACTCTTCTTCACTTCTTTGTCCAGTGTTTTATACATTGTGCTCAGTTCCTCTTGTCGTTGAGCATCCTTGCACTGGTTTATCTTCTGCTTCACCATCCTCCTCTCCTCTATCAGCTTCCAGGTATCCGTCGAGATCCATTCCTTGTCTTCTTTCTTCTTCCTTCCTAATACTGTTGTGCAGGTTTCTTTCCACATAGCTTTCAAAGACTTCCAGTGTTCTTCCACACAGGTTTCTTCAGGGATGTTGCTCGATGTCTCCCATTTTGTCTTGATGGCTGCCTTGAAGATCTCCTTTGTAGTTTCATCCTTCAGTTTCCGAGTGTTGTACTTGAGTTGAGGTCTATCACCAGCTTCCTTGAAGGCTTTTAACTTGATTTGGAAGGTTCCTTGCACTAGGTAGTGGTCTGAACCTACATCTGCTCCTCTTCTTGACCTTGTGTTAAGTAGACTGCGTCTCCATTTTCTTGAGATTGAGATAAAGTCGATTTGATTTTTAGTGTGTCCATCTGGTGAAATCCATGTCGCTTTGTGGATATCCTTGTGCCTGAACACACTGCCTCCAATCACCAAATCGTTGAATGCACAGAATTCTGCAAACAATTCTCCATTCTCATTCATTTCACCTAGCGCCTCTCGACCCATGGTTAGTTCTCTTCCCGTGTTGTCCCCTCCCAGTTTGGCATTCATGTCGCCCATTAGAATTTTGATATCGCCAACTGACGTCTTGTCCAGTGTTGATTGAAGTTGTCTGTAGAATTCCTCCTTTTTCTCTTGCTCTGCATTATTTGTAGGTGCATAACATTGTATGATTGTGACCTTTCTTCCTTTTGAGTTGAATCTTGCTGTCATGATCCTGGAGGAGATTGGTTCCCACTGCATGAGAGCCTTCGATGCTCTTGAGGACATCATGATAGCCACTCCCTCAGTGTGCTCGTGGTTGGCGTCTGGGTGACCGGAGTAGATTATTGATTCTCCAGTTGACAGTTTGG